TTTTTTTGTCGCGGCATGCATTTTAATATCGTGCAATTTGGCAAAAACACTGCATTTGCAGTATATACAATACGCCCGCCTGTTGTCCGACTCATCCTCCTTAATCCAATTCTTAAATTCGGTGATTGTTTTCCAGGAATCACGAAATTTCTGCTTATATTTTTTATCCATCACATACAATTAATGCCAAGAAGCGCGCCAAGAAGAATTAGCGATGGTGTAAATTCACAACTGATGTTATAAGTACGATAAAGTCGTGGTGGTAGTATCGCGCAGATCATTACGTACAATTTGGGACTTAATCGAAAAATGTTTTTTTTTTTTTGCTTTAAATACTAAAATCAAATTCAAAATATTCGTTTGTAAAATAGCTAAATTTATAGCTAATAGCATTTTCAAAATTTTCATAGCATTTAGGGTTCAAAAATAGCTAAAAATGCTATTAAATAGCTAATCTGGCAACACTGGTTCTGACTGTGTGAGCAGTGCATTCAGAGTGGAGAGAGCGTGAATGCTGAGTGAGCAGAGCAAGCAGTAAAGATCACAGTTTACTTAAGCAGTGCAAGCTGAGTGTAGCGTCAGCTGAGAGAGCGGTGCAGTGTGTATATGAAACTGAGTGAGTAGCGCAGGTTAAGAAATCAGCAGCAGTCTGAGTGAACAGCTCGAGCTAAGCAGTGCATATCGAGAATGAGAGCCGCATGAAAACAGAATTAGCATGACTTAGCAGTCTCTCGTGATGTTATCGCATAACAGAAAGTTTGTTTAGTAAACGAATCAAACTTTTGCATAAAATAAACGTAATATCATAATTATTTCTTAACAAAGTATATTTTAAAAACATATATATAATTTAATTTTCAGTGCTGGGACCGCACCAGAGCAACAATACGGCATTTTCATAGGAAACCGAAGACTTTGCTTCCACCTGCGTTGAGTCCTCAGAGCCTGCAACAGTCGTGTTGTTGTGCACCTCCTTCTGCTGCTTGTCGTCGGCTATGAAATGGTACTGGCCAGAGCTGCTGGCCAGGATGGGCAGGCTGGGATGAAAACCAATGCCATTGCAGCAATCATCATGCAGGGGCAACTGCAGGGCCTCGATTTCCTCGCTATCCGCGAGATTCCACAGATTGAGGTTGCCGTCCGTGTCGCCACTGGCTAGCCAGGGTTGCTGCGGACACAGATCGAATTGGATGCGCTGATTGGTGTTGACCCGACGCTGGAACTCATGCAGAGGCTGCTTATAGTTGCGCATGTCCCACTGCAGCAGCTTCGGGCACTTGCGAGCACCACTGAACAGCTGCCAATTGCTGGAGGCGTCTGCGCCGTAGCGCAGTTGGGTGATGCCTGCTGAGTGGCCACCCAGCGTGAAGAGCGGACCCTGCTTGGGGGGACAGCGCAGATCGAAGTGCTGTATATAGCCACGCCAGTTGCCGCAGGTCACTGTGTGCGGATGATCCGCATTCTGAGCCATGCACGAGATGGCAAACTTTACAGGGTATTCGTCGTAGCTGCGACCCGGTCGACTGGTGTCGAAGATCTTGATGCAACGCTTGTAGCCCGCATAGATCTTCTCTCCGTCGTTGGCAAATTGTAGGGATATGGCAGCCACCACTTCGTCCACCTCATCGTAGCCGCTGTAGCTGCAGCGCAAGCGTCCATCAAAGGCATCCCACATGTGTATCGGTTCGTGTTGACGTGTGGCCAGCCAACTGGAAGAGCAGACAACAATAAGTAAATCTATATTTAAAGTGAGTAATCAATAGAATTTCTTTTAGTTTAGAATTGGATTTAGATTTTAAATAAGCCCGCGCGCTGTTATTAGCAGCGCTTATGCTAAGCTAACACTTACTGTTAATACCCGTAGGTCTGTGAGCTATAAAAGAACTCACTGCAGTTGGCTCTGTTAAACATTTCTCTGTTACATAAATTTAACAGTGGGTGCAAAGAGAGAGGATTCACTGCACCTATATAAAGTCACTCTACTTACAAGCAACTCTCAGGTTGTTGGCTGTTCATTAGGGGGAACCAGACACAGTCGTAGACGGTGCCGCCTTCGGGTACATGGACAGCCGATTGCATTTTGGACAGGCTCCGTTCTGTGGAGATGTTGCTGGCTTCATACAGATCCAATGGCAGCTCCATAACATGCATGCCGTCCAGGTGCACGGGCAGCAGCAGGCATGTGCCGTCCGGCGACCAATAGCAACCTTTTGTATAATGCTGTGCCCGCGCGCTCGAAGGCCAGCAGCGGCGTCCCAGCTCGATGAGCTGCCGCTCGAAGTAGACTGGGGGTGGGGAAACGTTGGCATACTGCAGCTGTTCCTCGATCTTCTCTGGTTGCGCCTGCAGCGGCTCTTGCTGCGGCTCGTCAGTCTCCATTTGCTGCTCCTCTTTCGTGTCAGACTGCTGCAACTGCAGCTGTAGCTTCTCTTGATGCTGGAGCTGCTCTTGCTGCTGCTTGTCCTCCTTTATGGCCTCTTCCTCTGGCTGCTTCTGCTTCGTGTGCTCGTGCTCATCCATTGTGTCTTCTATGCTTATCACATTCTCGCTCTCCTCGTCCTCATCATCCTCCATCCAGCTGCTCTGCTCCAAAGCTGCGCTGCAGTTCGGCTTATTCACCAGATCCATGGTGCTGTTGGCAGCCCGCGTCTGGCGCAGCATCAGCTTCCTCCGTTCCGATTCGCTCAGTGAGAAGCTGAGATCGGGTATGGAGCCGGCGCTGACTTCGCCGGCCGTTCGGGTCAGTTCCATGCTGCTGTTAAAGCTAACATTGTGATTGAGCAGAGAGGCAGTCTGTTCCATGTTAGACAATGTGCTACCAGCTGTTGCATTTATAAAGAGGCATTAACTGAGATTAATATGTTTAATTTACATTTCTTACACGATTCGTCCATGGCGGCTACTTTAACTTGTTTGTTGTATACAACTATCGATATTGCACCATCGATTTGTGCGCATTTTAGAGTGAACGTATTCGTTTTAAACATTTATTGAAAATAAAAACAAAACATGTTTGACATTAATTCATTATATAGTTAATAATGCTTTGTTCATATTGTTTACTTTGTATTTGCAATGCATGTCGATTCTTTTAATTTCTCTGCTATCGATAGCATATTCATCAAGCCCATATTTTGAGTGCTGCCACTTTCTAGGCTGACCATATACGCGTTTATATCATCAGCTGTGCGCGTGTGGTGTATAAAGGCGCGCAATAATTTGGTGGGAATTGTTTTTAAAATAAGTGAATTGTCTTGAATCCTTGCGTCGATGATAAATATAATTCATATGTTCTTGAAAGACTAAAATAATGTAAGAAAAGAGTAGATATGTACTAAATAGGAGGTATGCCACACCACAGTATATTTAGTTTTTCATATACTGTAAGCATTTCTAAGTGTTGACTTACCAATAATATTTTTGTATACATGCATGCATATATTTATATAGCTGATGCATATTGCAATTTTATGTTTTACCCTAGTCTAATTTATTCGCACTGCCAGATCACTTTCTACTTCATATTCAAGGTGAATTGGTGAATACACAAAATACAAAGGTATATACATACATATGTGCATACACCACACACGATATTCTAACGGTACTTCTGAGCCTGTGAGTGTGTGTGTGTGTATAAAATGTGTCTGCTTCTGACTATAGCTTTGCAGACATTTTGCATAATAATTAGGTAAGTTTATTCGGTTCGGTTACCGAATATTATTTGCATAAACAAATTTGCAATGTGTATCCAGCACGCAAATAAATTGAGATTAACAAAGTGAAGCTGAAAGTTGTATTTACTTAAGCGGTTATTTAGAAATGCATATATGTATGTATGTATGCACATCTGTATCTATGTCTGTATGTATGTGTGTGCAGTGAAGCGCTTGATTAGAATTTATTGAAGTTAGCGCGTCTTAGAAAATTGTGCTCAGATTTTTTATTTATTTATCTATTTTTCCTATTTAAGTCCAATTGGCAGCGAATTAGACAAAAGTGAATTCCAATAAGGCGTCGAATTGGAAAATCACAGTTGCTGCTGCGTAGCAGAAACTGTAGTATGTAACGGTTTGGTAAACTCTGTGCATGCGAGTGAGAGGTAGGGTATATTTGTTATGTATTATTGTACATTATTGCAACTATTTCTGTAGGTATTTTTGTAGTCTAACGGGATAAATTTTAAACCTACATATATGAAAGTTCTTAGTACAGGGTAATCATATACTAAATTTGTACTTTATATAGCAGTTTCAAGTAACACAATAATTTAGAGGGTATTTGACAAGTGACAAGTGATGATTACCTTATGTACGCAAACGGCCTGCGCTGGCTTGACAGATCCGAAGACAGGCACAAAGAGAAGCAAACAATGGAAACAGTTAGATCTCATGCGACTAGACATGGCATGACACAGTGCAATTGCACTCTAAATATAGACGTTATTTAAAGAAGGAGCTGCAGATATAAATAACGGTAAAGGGTGTATTATTTATAGAGATTGCTAGGGTTGTTTAAAAACTGTCTATTGTTAAAGAAACAGAAACTAAAAAAAGTTAAATGTTTTATTGAATTCCTTTTGCACTTGAATGTCTTAGTAATTGTTTTAATAAACAATAATTCGCCCGTTATTAGCAGCAATTGGTGATTTGCACATTGAATTAGAGCCGTCGGTATTTGAGTGTTAACTGCCTGGCTGCAATCCGATTTGTTATCGAGGCGCTTTAAGGCTTGGCCAGAATGCGGCTCACGTTCGGGCCGGCAAATAGGCCCCGAAGTGAATCCTAATTTAAATTGAACACAGATGCAATGAAGCATTGACATTTCGGGCCCGGCAAACAGACTGAGAATTGAGGGTATTTGGAGTAGGAGTGGGAGTGGGAGTGGGAGTGGGACACGTGCCATCAAATCGAACATGAAATTCAGATCAAATTACAATTTGATATGTATTTTTTTTCTTGTTTTTTGGACCGTAGCTTTTGTTTTTATTTATTTGGAATCAATTAAGTTAAAATGTGCTGGGAGGCGTGTCAAATGAAATATTTACACAACTGCTGCGACTCGAGGGAATTGAAAGGCATTAAAATAGTTCAAACTGGGCGTTGTTCTGCAGCTGGTAAATGGGGGACTCAGTCCACGTTGGGGGTTGCCTTTGCTGGTCAACCCCCAGAAGCGAGCAAGCCAAGCCCAACGTCTGGCTTTCCAATTTGTTCATTTGCGTGACTCTACTTTGGGAGCTGCTCCATTTGGGCTTGCCTGCTGTCTGCCTAGCTTGGCCTTAAGCTCTAGTGCTACGATTAAAGTCTCATATTTATAGCTGGCTGTGGCTACAGCTCATGCTTTAAAGGCATGCCACGAGGAAGACTTTAAGCTACTGTAAATATGATGATCCCTGTGTGAAAAACTTCAACAATCAGTAAATCCCGTTAAGCTCTCAATCATGATGTAAATGATATTGAGTGCCCATTTTCGAATCCATTGTCGAAATCTCTCTCCAAGGACATTCAAAAACAATTTCAAGCTAATTTATGTGGCTCCAAAAGCCTCAAGTGCGGCAACCGAAAATTGTCTTTTAACCTACGCCCACAGTAAAAGAGAAAGAAAATAAAAGAAGAGCAGGGGAAAGACATGAATATTCAGCTTCAGCAACTTTTTGCCCTTGTGGGATGTTTTCTGCATTGTCGACGGAGCCTAACAGCACCCCCAAAAAAAGAAATAAAAAGGATACAGTGCAAACGAGTAAATCCTGCCGAGCAACAACAAAAGCCATCAGGCATAAGCATACCGACCTAATGAGTCCCACATGAATGCTGTGCAAATGGATTTTTGGTCGGACGCCTACAAATGAAATTGCCCCATCCTCACCTCAAATGTGCAGCTGCAAAGAAATGTTCTCAAAGACAGATTCAAATATGAAAGATTAATAGAAAAATTTTCACAAAAGGGGTAAACTTTATTAGCAAATATTTTTTTAAATAGATTCGGACACCAAAAAATTTTCTATTTATGTCGAAGATGTCATAAATGCAAATTAGATTATGATTCTATTTTAAGATTGATTAAGATCTATATTATGAATTAACTGTATGTACATACATAGTTATTATTTTCTTTTCTTATACCCAGATTCAATAATTTATATCAACTAGATTAAATATATAACTATATGAAAATCTATAAAATAT